AAAGAACTTTTACAAATTTGTTTTTTTTTAAAACTTTTTAGCCATGCTGTTTAATACTGGACAGAAGTGAAAATATTTTACAACAAAAAATTCACATTTTGAAGACAGAGGATGGAAATCACGTCGTTTGAGGAGATACCTATCATTAAGGACTATATCAACCACTTCAAACAGTATTTTTTAATACGTTTCTTTTTTATTATTCTTTAAAATTTATTAAATATTTACAAAAATATGCTGGAATGTAGGCTACATGCTTTTCACTGCATACCAATGGTATACTATTTTCAAATTTATTAAGAAATAACTGCAGATCAATATACTTTCCTCTCTCAAATATTATGAAACCTAACTGACTAACTCTCCGGCACTACAGTCTATATTGGACCATGGCGTTCCTAACATTATCACTCCAAAGTCGTTTGTTTTGACCTTTGGTTTTCCAATATGTGATCTTTAGGTTCTTCAGATCCTTTTCCACTTCATCAATTAATATCTTTTATGGCCTTCCCATTTTACTTTGGCCCTGGCATTTCCCCTTGAAAAATCTTCTTTGTGTCTCTACTGTCGTTTATTCTCTCTGTGTATTCTAGCTATTGAATTCTCTTTTGATTTTATATAATTTATGATTCCCATTTCTCCAAGCAATTTTAAATTATGAAATCATGTATTCAATCAATTCATAAAGCAATAGATGTAAGATTTTTATTTTACGTTAGTTTAATAGATTCTAGAGGACTTTTATATCAACATTCTGTCATTGGTTTGGTTTGTCGCTCTACGGTCATTTTTTGCACACTTTGGACTAATTAGACCAGGACCTGTAACAACATTCTGTGAAGTTCCATGATTAATTCATGGAACATTGATTATCGGCCGTACCATGCTGAATATACCGGTTCTCGTTAGATCACCGAAGTTAAGCATCATTGGGCGTGGTCAGTACTTGGGTGGGTGACCACCTGGGAACACTGCGTGCCGTTGGCAAATTTGGGACCTGAATGGCCGAGTGTCTAGCGCTCGGTGCCACAGGTTTCGGGTTCGAATCCCGGCGGTGCCATGGATGTTTGTAGTGGTTCGGAATCCACTTTAAGCCGTAGGTCCCGGTCTTCTATGACTGTAAGAGCGTCACGGAGCAAAAGTCAGGCTTCTACCTACGGGTGCTCCATCACAACAGAAGCTGCTTCCTTCCCCTTCAATCATGAGTCCATATGGGCTCATGGGCTTGGCCAGCCAAGTGGGATAAGAAACAACAACAACAACATTGATTATGAAAGAGAGAGATACTGCCTTAAAAAAGAAGCCTTTAAATTAGTAATGCTGTAGAAATAAATCTTAGTTTTATTTCAGTTTCAAGAAAATACACTAATTCATAAAATATTCTATCGTGCAAGCGCGGCTCATTATTCATACAAGAAGTATTTGTATTGCCAAAAGGATAACATCTAAATTTGCAACTGACACCAGGAATGGATTTTCTAAATGCATAAATAAAGCAATCAAGGAATACTAACAGGCAAATTTACGAGGGGGAGAGTTTCACGTCACACATTTGCCTGCCAGTACTAGAAACTGCAACTGCAACTAAAAAAAAAAAAGTTGCCGAAAATAACAGATGTTCTCTCCTTCTCTAGTTGTCACATTTGCAATAGAAACGAATAAAGAATAAGAAGAAAAAAAAAAGGAACAGAAAAAAAAATACAAAGCATCTTTTTATGCTACTTCTGTTTCCAGAACCCAAATGATTGCACCAGCCGCGCTCATAAAACACCTTCGATCCGAAAAGAAAAGCAACAGAAAAAAAAATCTATCTCACCCCCTTTTTTTTTGCCCACCCTCTTCTTCTGTTTTTTCCTGTTTTCTCTCTTCTCTTTTTTTGTATTGGCCAAAGAGGCGCCAAAAAAGAAGAAAGGGGGCTTTGAAGGGGAGGAAAAAAAAAATCAAAGGATCAAAAAAAGAAAAAAGTGCGGGAACACAGCTTTGGCTAGCTGGGGAAAAAGGATTTTGTATGTTTTCTGCGCGGCACCAGGGCTTTCTAAGCCGGCAATCCTTCTTTGCTGCCATTAGCCGACACGAAGAAATAAATGGGGCCTAGCATCGTTAACCCTGGAAAGTCTTTCGCCTTTTGGCCAGAGCCTATGGATTAGGATTACATTAGTGTAAGAACATGGCACGTTCTTTTCTAGAACTCATTTAGATCTGGCACCTTACCCATGAGAGTTCCAGGCGAAGGAAAATTTTCTTCTTCCCAAGCAAGGCCCCGTTAATGAAGCGTGTCGGCAAGAACACCCTTTCCACCCCTCCTCCTTCCCTAAAACAAGTTTTACCTTTTCCCGAACTCGATGTTTGCCTGGAGGAATTTTCTTCTTATTACACAGGGTTCCCAGCAATCTATATTAATACAGGAAAACCGGCGCAACAGTTTCGCAAAACTTTTTGAAAACGCATGCCCCCCTAACTGGTGCTGATGAGGAAAGATTGAGCCTCGTTTGGTTTGGCGCAACGGCAAGAGACGCAACAGTGCCCTTTTCCCCCGCATTAAAATTTTAAAGTTTGTGTGAATCTTCCTAGAAAGCTAATAGACCTTATCTGGAAGTTGTTAGCGGGTGAATTAAAACAATTCTGTTTTCACACAAAAAGGTACATTGTAGCACTATGCGTTTAAATAGTGCTTTGATGTGCTCTTATTATTTTGTTTGAATTAATGTTGCATCCCATTTACATCATGAGATGTAAGCAATGAGTCAAATCATCTAATTGAAGGAGGTGAATCTTCCTTGAAACTAAAAGGCATCATCTGGAACTTGTAACACGAAATTAAAGTTACATAGCAATAATAAATAGTATCTTTTTATTTCCATTGTTTTGTTTGTTACGTTATGAGATGACTTTTTCAATTCTATTTCACATAAAAAATTACATTGTTACACAATACTTGCAAATAGCACTTTGATTTGGTCATATTGCATTGTTTGAACTAATGTTGCATTACATTTACATCATGAGTTGTAGGTAATGAGTCATGTCATCTAATTGAAGAAAGAAATGTTTGTGAATCTTCCTTGAAACCAATAGTCATCATCTGGAACTTGTAACACGAAATTTCCAAAAAAAAATCTGTTTCCCATAGAAAAGTTGCATAGCAATAATAAAGGGTATCATTTTATTCCCATTGTTTTTTTTAAACGTTATGAGATATATGCAATGAATCTAATTTAAGATGTGAATATTCCTCGAAACTACTATACATTATTTGGAAGTTGTAAAAAGTAAATTTTTGCAATTCTGTTTCACATAAAAAGTTACATTGAAACACAATACTTACAAAGTATTTTGATTTGAGCATATTGTTTTGTTTGAATTAATGATGCATTACGGTTATATAACGAGATGTAGGCAATGAGCCAAATAATCTAACTGAAGGAGGATATGCTTGCGAATCTCGCTTGAAGCTAATCTACATCATCTTAAACTTGTAACATGTATATTCTGTTTCCCATATAAAAGTTACATAGTAACGATTTATAGTATCTTGATTATTCCCACTCTTTTGTGAATTACATTACTGATATGGGCAATCAGTCCCAAAATCTTATTGGAGATAGTAAATTTTAAAATTTGAATCTAATCTTGAAATTAATTGTCCTTGAAACTAACAGACATTATAAGGAAGCTGTAACAAGTAGAATTTTCCAATTCTGTTTCACATAAAAAGTTACATTGCAACACAATACTTTACAAATAGTACTTCGATTTATTTATACTGTTTTGCCTGAATTAACGTTACATTACATTACGAGATACAGATAATCAGCCAAAAATATTATTAATGAAGAACGTTGTATATTAACATTGTACATTGAACATTGTGCAATGAATTAAATGCAAAATAAAGTATTTACTGAGATATACATGCTGTATATATATATATATATTAAAGAATATTATTAATGCGCATTCATGAAAACAAATTAACATTTATTTCTGTTACTCCTGCTTATTATTTACAATGAAATGCAAAGAAATTCTTTAGAGAAGAATGAAATTTTTTTTGCTGTACGAAGCAATAACCATTAATAAATAAGATTTTTATCTTAATAAGAAAAGCAAATGGCAATTTTCTTAATTGGTAAAAACTATTCACAACTATGAAATGCATTATTTCTCTTGTTCAAGACTCTTTTTCAACTTTTAGCAAAATTTTACTTCCTGAATTACGAAAATAAAAATCTACGATATCTTACATTTGTAATTCATAAATAATTACAGAAAATTAATTTAAATTTGATAACTAATAAATTTTAGTATACACATCTGCAAATGCCTCGGTTGTTCCTATTGTTATTTAAGATTTACCACTGAAAGATGATCTTTATCGAGTACGCAGGTTGAAGCAATAACCATTCAATAAATGAATTAATTATCTTTTCAAAGTTTTTGTCAATGACAATATTCACTCATTTGCAAGATTAAATACTCCTAAATAAAAGAATACAATCACAAATTTTTTTAAAGGGAAATGGAACTAAACCGAGTAAAAATATGTGACATCTCAACTAAATGTATGATCTAATTTTTAATCCGAAAGATGAATGAATTTCTATAAGCAAATCTTTGCTTAAGACCCTCTGCCTCTTTTTTTACGAAGGAAAGATAAACTTCATGGGAAAATGAAGACTGGATCAATAAACCAGTAATAAATAAGGTATTATGTTGTTGTTGTTGTTTCTTATCCCACTTGGCTGGCCAAGCCCACGAGCCCATATGGACTCATGATTGAAGGGGAAGGAAGCAGCTTCTGTTGTGATGGAGCACCCGTAGGTAGAAGCCTGACTTTTGCTCCGTGACGCTCTTACAGTCATAGAAGACCGGGACCTACGGCTTAAAGTGGATTCCGAACCACTACAAACATCCATGGCACCGCCGGGATTCGAACCCGAAACCTGTGGTACCGAGCGCCAGAGCGCTAGACACTCGGCCATTCAGGTCCCAAATTTGCCAACGGCACGCAGTGTTCCCAGGTGGTCACCCACCCAAGTACTGACCGCGCCCAATGATGCTTGACTTCGGTGATCTAACGAGAACCGGTATATTCAGCATGGTACGGTAATATTATTATTATATATTATTATTATTATTATATGTGAAGGTGCTAATCTCACTCATTGCAAACTTAAGTGTTTCTCAATTAAATAAAATCTTTAAATTGGAGCGAACATTAAACAAAATTAAAATATTTAAAATCAATCTGTATGAGCTGCATTATTTAATTATATATTTAATACATAAATACTTGTTGAAGATTAATTCTACAATGAATCTTTACTAAGAATAATGACTGGAACAATACACTAGTAATAGATGTTTGACTTATTTTGACAAAGGATTAAAATCAACTCTCATTTAAAATGAGAAACTAATCAAATTAAAATATTTAACATCATATGTATGAATGGCATTATTTAATTTCAATTCATGCATAAATAATTGCCGAAAATTCGTTCTACACTGAATCTTTGCAAAGTATAAAGACTGGAACAATAAACCAGTAATAAAGGCGTGATTTATTTTGACCAAAGTTAATAGACTGAAAGTTTTAAGACTGAATATAATTTAAATACCTATGTCAGTCCAAATTAACTTCATACCTTAATTTTTAATTGATTCGTAAATAACGACTAAGAAATTATTTAGAATTCAAACAAAAATGATGAAGAACTTTTCTGTGTGCTTACAAAATCCATGCACCCCCTCAACCGCTTGCGCTATTACTTACAATGAACCACTAAGAGAGGTGAACCTCATCGAAGAAGAACACAATCAGGAGCAATAAACCAGTAATAAATAAGTAACTAATTTTGACAAAAGATTAAATTCAACACTCATTTAAAGTGAAACGAAATTAAACAAATTAAAATAATAATTAACATCAATCTGTATAAATTGCATTATTTAATTTTAATTAATACATTAATAATTGCAGAAGATTCATTCCACAATGAATCTTTGCAAAGAGTAAAGACTGGAGCAATAACCAGTAATAAATGCGTGATTTATTTTGACCAAAGTTTAAATTCAGTTCTCCTTTTTTTGCAACGGAGTGTGCTCCTTAGTCTGAGAAGATAGTCAAACACTTTTAAGGAACTAAATATAATTGGAACACGGAACTAAATATAATTTAAATATGCACGTCAGTTTCAATTAGCTGTATGCTTTAATTGATTCACAAATAATGACTAAGAAATTACGCGGAATTCAAACCAAAATGAATAAAATGATGAAGAACTTTTCTGTGTGCTTACAAAATCCATGCACCTCCACAACCGCTTGCGCTATTACTTACAATGTACCACTAAGAGAGGTGAACCTCATCGAAAAAGAACACAGTCTGGAGCAATAAACCAGTAATAAATGAGGTATTTATCTCGACTAGGGATTTCGTCAAAAAACAATATTCGCTCCTCTGCGAAGCCAAAGTGCTCCTCAGCAGAGAGGAAGGTCATCAAACTTTTTGTTTGGTTAAGAGGGATGGGGGGTTCCGATGGGTGATGTTATTATTATGGAAGTGTGGGAGGAGCAATTTGTCGGCTGTGTTTGTCTGGGGTCAACAAGAATGGCGTCGGGGCAAACGAGAGTTTAATGCAGGATTGATTGGGGACCCCGCTGCGAAGGAAATGGACCACGCCGAATGACCACCCGGAAGGAAGTAAATAAAATATAAAGCACTCTTTAAAAAGAGGTGAACTTCACAAGTATGAGGATATTCGGCCATTACTCCACGTGGATCCTGCAATTGGTGAAGATTGCAACGTTTTAAGTATGAAACGTTTTTTTTGCAGAGACTAACTACATAAAATGGGATGTTTAAACGCCATGTTCCCCAAAAGATGTTGCTTAGTAAATTTTTTTTTCTTTTGACTATTTGATTTTTAATTACAATAATTATCTAAAAATAAATTTTTATTTCAGAATAAATAATTTTAATAATTTTTGTAATAAGTGAACTAGTATGTATAAGTTTTACATTTTTTAATTGTTGTTTGTTGTTGTTGTTGTTTCAAAATTACTCATTTGAAGGGAAGGAAGCAGTTCTGTTGTGATGGAACCCCGTGCAATCCGTGATTTTAGGGACCTATGGATTCCGAACCACTATAAGTTTTTAACAAAACCTGTGGCACCGAGCGCCAGAGCGCTAGACACTCGGCCATTCAGGTCCCACTGTTTTTAATAAATGTAATAAAGCATTCCAGTTTCATAAAATTATTTATTTATCTAGGAATAAAATTATATTTTTCGATAATTGCTGTAATTATAGAAAAATGCAAGTAAAAATTAAATATTCGAAAGAAAAAAATTATCGAAAAATAAATTTTTATTTCAAAATAAATGAATAACTTTATGAAACTGGAATGCTTTATTACATTTATCAAAAATAGTTTAATAATAAGTCTTTTTAAAAAATATATATATTAGCTTTAAAAGGCCTGACTTAAAACTTTTCTATTGCGCTCTAAATGAATTTTAAAACAATAATTAAAATTTTCGTGTCCCATCAGTTTGTAAATGGCTAATGATTATCAACGTTAAAATTTGAATTAGAAAAAAATAGAAAACTATAAGCAATAATTAGGTAAACTAAATTTCTTTTTCTCACATAATGAAGTCGAGAAATATAAGCTTTTCACATTTAAAAAGTTTCTCCTCTCATTTTTTTAGGGATATTAATTGTATTAATTAAGGACATTAAATTTATGCAACATTTGAAGAATTTATCTATGGCTACGGTCCCTTATCATAATTTTACCCATCATGATGGAAAGGAATTAATTCAGAATGAATGGATAAATAAATATCAAATCCTTCGTATAATAATACGAAATCAAATATACAAAATAACAATATAATTAGTCTAATGATATGCGAGACTTTCCATACAAATACATTTCCTCCTGTTCTATATTTCTAGGAGAATCGATGAGTACAATCCCTTCATTTGAATTATCCCCCCACGCCCCTCCTTCCAAAAAAAAAAAAAAAACACTTTTAAGAGACTTAATTAATGAACTTGAATTATAAATTTATAATGTATTTTATAGTTTTTAGAAATTATTATTGCAATAAAAATAATGTTATTACTGTAAAAATGTAAAGATGTATTCAACAATTGATGAACTTATCTATGGTTACAATCTATTACCATAGAATATATATTTCACCCATCATTCTAAAATTCAAGATGAATGGATAAATAAATATCAAATCCTTCATATAATAATACAAAATCAAATATAAAAGATAACAATATAATTAGTCTAATGAAAGACAAGACATTCCATACAAATACATTTCCTCCTGTTCTATATTTCTAGGAGAATCGATGAGTACAATCCCTTCATTTGAATTATCCCCCACCCCCTCCATCCAAAAAAAAAAAAACACTTTTAAGAGACTTAATTAATTAACTTGAATTATAAATTTATAATTTATTTTATAGTTTTTAGAAATTATTATTGCAATAAAAATAATGTTATTACTGTAAAAATGTATTCAACAATTGGTTTCACCCATCATTCCAAAATTCAGGATGAATGGATAAATAAATATCAAATCTTTCATATAATAATACAAAATCAAATATAAAAGATAAAGATATAATTAGTTTAATGAAAGTCGAGACATTCCATACAAAAACATTTCTTCCTGTTGTTCTAATGTCAAGGTAAAGGCGAATCGATGAGTACAATCCCTTCATTTAAATTACTCTCACAAAAATAAATAAATAACCCACTTTGCCACCAAGTGTAAAAGATTTAATTAACCTGAATTATAAATTTTTAATTTGTTTTATAGAATTTTGAAATTATTGTTACAATAAAAATAATGTTATAACCGCAGTAAAAATATAAAGTTATATGCAACCTATTCATGCATTTATCCATGGTTATGGTAAATTATAGAAAATACGTATTTTACTTATCATTTAAAGAAATGCAATGGTAAAAAATAAAATATATTGTAGAAACTCAGAATGAACTGATAAATAAATATCAAATCCTTCATATAATAATACAAAATCAAATATACAAGATAACAATAAAATTAATGTAATTGAAGACGAGACATTCCATACAAAAACATTTCCTCCTGTTGTTCTAATGTCAAGGTAAAGGCAAATCGATGAGCACAATCCTTTCATTTAAATTACCCCCCCCCTTTCCAAAAAAATCTTTTTTAACTAGAGAGGGGAAAAAAAGTCTTATCGTTTTTATTATTTTCTTTTACGAATTCTATTTTTTAACAGTTTCAGAAAAGTGTGTGTGTGTGTGTGGAATGTATGGAATTGAGCCAAGGAAAAACCACGTTCCATAATCTTCGGGATCGCAAAAGGATCGACACAAAAAAAAGAAAAAGAAAAGTAAAAAAGAGAGAGAGAGAGAGTGAGAGAGGAAGGATCGGTCCATTCCTCTCTCGAGAAAGAAAAGCGCGGTCATCCGTCTTGGCGTCTCTGTGCGAGGGATAAAACTTAGATAAATGCGCATATTTTAAAGTTTTTTTTTCTGCGTCCTTCTCCCAAAGATTTAGCTGTCAGGCGGGCGATTCTTTTTCCAAAGTCCTTGCTTTACATCGCGGCATACATTAGAGGCAAAACATGAGGCAAGAAGGGATTTTGAAAGCAGGAGAGGGCGTAAGCAGAATTTTTATTTTATCCCGAGATGTGCCGGTGCATGTCAAATGTAGAACGATAAAACTCCTTTTCTGGAGCATTGCGACAAAAATGAAATAAAGCAAGAACTACAAAATGATGCGCCATTATTGGCACATGCGCGACACACCTCGCATTTGTTGCCCCCGCTCTTGGCGATAATCCGGCCCGTTCGAACCGAAATAGTCGCGAGTAATTCCGATAGTACAATTATAATTAAAAGGATTTTAAATGCAAATACACTACAGAATTTAGTCCAAAATTATTCTCGGCTATTCAAATGATTACTGCCAATGCCAATAGATGAGAAAATTTTGAAGAAATACAAATATAATTAAAATTATTTTAAATGTAAATGCATTGCAGAATTACTCCAGAATTACTATCGGCTATTCAAATGATCAC